TTAAAATCTTGGGCAGCAGCTTTGGTAAGCCATTGAAGCATCCTCCTCCTTGTTTTATTCCTTGCATCTACCTGAGTCATCATACCAGTCATTTCTTGCTGGTTTCTGAACTTCACCAAGCTCTTCTGTTGCTGTGGTCGTAAGTGCTTCTTTCATCTTTGTCCACCTTGAGTCGCTAGTAAGTACTACCTGGTGATTGGTGAGCTTCTCTATAACATTGATTACAAACCTCTGCTTCACTCACTGCTTCAAATTTCAGGAGGGCATCTTTTATTGTATTTCTTAGCATGAACCCCATCCCTATTTGATTATGCCTGTTTCCACTGTTGATAATCTCCTAGTTGGACCATTGGAGTATCCTTCCAACGTATCTCTTGTATAGCTGCCACACCATACCGAAGCAACCGCGCCTCTAAATTTTGACTCGTCCCGACCTGGAAGATACTCCTCACATTCCACGTCACTAAAGTTAAGGATTTTCCTAGTCCACACTTGAATTGTACCAATAGATCAGTCCGGCTACGTTTCTGTTGGTTATTCATAACAATATAATTTTTTCCGGGACCGTGTCGTTAGCCCGATGCCCAACCCCGAACCTGGAGGACCAGTAGGATTTTCTGTCTGGGCCCTGTTTCCATAGACGGCTGTCTTCACTACGACTGTAGAGTCACGTCCACCCTTGCAGTATGCCCCCAGTTCCACAGTGCAAGTTTCCCTGGAGGCACTTCTTTTGTTTGATAGGAGATGCCCTGCAGCCGACTTCCCGCCCATCCTGACAGGCCGGGAGCCAGTTTACCCGCAGGCTGCCCTGTCAAGACCCCCTCTCTCATTGCTCACCCACCCAGGTCCTCCAGAGGGATTGGTTCTACTACCTTGGACCCGAGTAGCTAGGCTTAACGGGGCTCACCTTGAGAAGGTCAGAGTAGGAGTTGAGAAGAGCAGGCTTTTTGGCCACTTGTGTCCCATATTCCTTTACTTCCCCATTTGGGCCCCAAAAGGAAACACTACTTCTGGCCTAAAAATTTGAAACAATAAATAAAGTTTTAAAAAGAAGTGAAGAAAACCTTAAGTGAACAAGCTATATGCAAAACACTTAAAACTATGAACAAAATACATAAAACTATGAACAAAACATTTAAAACTATATATAATGATAGAACAGCATAAATATACACTTCAAGAAAAAATGAGACAAAATAAATTAGTCTTCTCATAAAAAAAGCTTTACGTTTTTACTTAGAAAAATGAAAGCTGTATCTGTCAATATAAACCTAATTATGTAAATGCTGGATAATATGTAAGTACATCATAAGAAGAGCATGATCTTCTATTATGGAAGATATGTGTGGGCGTTTAGTCGTATATAAGAAAAAATATTAGTGATAATCAAATGAAAAAATTTTTTTTTTAAATTAATGTATTGAGTGGTGTCGAAAGTAGGAAATACCTGTACTATCCCTAGCAAAGAACACTATTATCATATGATGATATGATTGATATAATATACATATATAATGTCAATAGTTAGCAGGTATCTGACTGTTTTTGGAACAGGAATTAGAATAGGAGATTTTTAAATGTGAATACGGAGGAAACATGCCAAACTTCGATAGGAAGGGAATTCCATAAACTGACATTGCGGCCAACTAAGGAATTTTTTAATGAAGCTGATCTATGAGAAGGGATGTATAGGTCAGAAGGTCGAGATCTTGTGATAAGGGAATGGATTGAGGACTTGAATTGAAGAAGGTTGTAGGCACAAGAAGGACAATAATTTGATAAAGGAATATTATTAGGAAATATTATCTCCTTAAGGAGGGGAAGAGCCATTTTAACTCAGTGTAGTGGTGGGAGACAGGGGAGCGTCTCGGTGTTCCAATTACAAATCTTATGAAGCTATTCATTAGACTTTTCAGTCTATCGCGGAGCTCAACCGAGAGGCCATTGTACACCACACAGCTGTAGTCAAAGATTAGGGAGAAAACTAGGAGTCTACAGGTATTTTGGATTAAGAGATGGTGGAAGCGATAGAATAGTTTGAGGGGAGAAATTGCATGACGGGAGATGTGAGAAATATGGTGATTCCAGGAGAGGGTTTGATCTATGAAAAAGCCTAAATTTTTAACAGGAGGGTAGGAGGTGATGGGATGGTTATTTAGGTAAAGTGTAGGAAAGTTGGTATGGGTAAGAAGGGGAAGAATGACAATGGCCTGAATTTTAGCAACATTTAGCCTTAATTCAGTTAAGTTTGCCCAGGCACTGATTCAATCTAGATCTTCTTGAATTTTAGCAAATGGTACTAATAACTCATCGGGAGAAAAGGATAGATAGATTTTAGAATCGTCAGCATAAAGGTGGTGGGAACAATGGAGGATTGAATCATGTAGGTCTTTCATATAGGAGCTGAAAAGAAGAGGAGATATGCTTGAACCCTGGGCAACTCAAGAGGGTAAAGAAAGGTCGGCAGATAGTGGTTGGTTGGGTATGGAAAATACTTGGATACGTTGTGAGAGGAAAGATTGGAACCAGGAGATGGGACTGTTGGAGAAGGATAATGATTTTAGTAATATAATTAGGTAATATGTAAGATTTTAGTGATCATTTTTGTTCTTATCATTTGAACAAGATTTCTTATTAATTTCTTTAACCTTCTTAAACATTATTGCAAATAAGCTTGAAAAATTGTCAAGATGTGCAGTCAGAGATTTCTTAAATGAGTTATTAAACAACATATGGGTCATAATCAGGACTAAAACTTGAAAAATATAAAATAATATCAGAAAAATGATAGATATAAAAGTATAAGAGTAAAGAATAATACTAATAAGAGTAAATAAATAAGATAATAGTTGAGAACTACAATAATATTGCATGGCTGTTGAACTCTGTTGAGTTGCTAAATAACACTACAATACATATCATTGCATAACATTGCAATACATATCAAGAAGGATGCTTCCCCTGCTTCCGAAACATAGTCCTTTAACTGAGAATTCTCTCTTGCCATGTTCATCTTTATACTTTTCCTTCAGGTAAGGTATGCATTTCTATAAATTTCCTCTTTCTCTACCCGTATCTTGATGGTCTGATCCTTATCATTGGTTTCAAACCTGATCTTAGGATCCATTATTAGTGCCTCATTTTCCATCAAATTGAACGCTAAAATGTCAATGAACCTTGTTGAGCCTTCTGTACCCAAATAATAAACTTCAAGGAAACATTTATACTTATTCATTTCAAGGAATTCGGCTATACGATGCTTTATATTATTGTGCAAGTAGGTGATAATTAGCATGTTATGTGGACAATTTTCCAACATATGAGCTAGGGTTTCTGTCTCTCAGCCACATTTGCGGCAGAGGGGACAAACATTTCCGTTAACCTGGCTTCCGGCCCCTGGTACTCCACGGAGAGGAGCGTAATTAACATTGGATTTTATGGTATTTATCCATTCTGAGTTGGTGAGAACTTTTCTATCATGAATGAATTTATTGGTCCATGGATAAGATTTAAAATAGGACACTAATTTCCTTTGTTTGATCCACACATCAAAGGACTTTTCTCTCAGGGACTGTCTTATTTTCCTAACTGTTAGCTATGGTTCCATATTACTTGCTTTGATCCCTAACTTATTAGCATACTTTCTTACTTCATACCCGAAATCTAAAATTGCCTGAATCAGAGCACTGTTACATTGGCCAACTTTTGGAAAATGGACCAGTACTGAAAAGTAGCTTCTTTGAGAGAGAACTCATATTCCATTGACACCGCAAAAGACCCAAACCTCTGTATCGCGCCGGTGCATATTTCTTCACTGAGAAAATGCTGGCTGGTAAACCTACCATCGCCTTAACACTTTTTCCTAATATGATGTCTATAGACTCCAATAGTGATGTGGGCAATTTCTCCTTCAATTTGGCCTGGGCAATGGTGCTGTCTGCAGTGGGTCTATTAGTCGAGGGAAGATATCTTTTGACAATATTGATCTTCTGTCGTGGCTTAAGGAGATTCGAACTTATAAATTGGATGAAAAGAAATTAGCATCCGAAGCTTGTTATCAAAGATGTTTTAAATGATTTGCATTAATATGGGGTCAATTGTTATGGGTCTCCACAAAAACAAATTGTCACTAGAACCCTTTCCTTTATAAATTAAAATTGTCCACCTGCAATGGAGAATTTCAGAAGGCAAAGGGTATTTAACTGAATATTAAATTTAGTATTTAATATTTCAGATAATAGTCATTACATGTCTGTTACCTTACCCCTTCCTTTCTGCACCTCCCACCCAAAACCAATTTCCATAAACTCTCAGTTCTTGTCCAGCTTTTAAACCATTGGTAATTGTTAAGAAACTATTAATATTTATTGAACTCTATTTCTATACGTTATTTTGTCATATTTGTTCATTTTTATTTATATGCATTATTTTTGCATATTTCTTATTTATTGAATTGGTGTTTTTTATTTACTGTAATTATTTGGTTTATTAATTTTTACTTTTGATAAACTTACCTTTTTCATTTATTTATAGCACAAAAACATTTTCTTAGCTTATTTCAATGTCTTTAATATTGCTATGTCTATATAACCTTTATCTCATTTGTAGGTTTCACATTTTTCTTTTCTTATACTTTTATATTTATCATTTTTCAGATTTTATTCTTTACTCTTATTACTATTACCTTATTTATTTACTGTTATTACTCTTATACTTTCATATTTATCATTTTTCTGATGTTATTTTATATTTTTTTAATTTTTAGCCCTGATGATGACCCACATGTTTGGGTCGAAACGTTGGCTATCTCATTAAAGAAATGTTTGACTGCACATTCTGACAATTTTTTCATCCATATTATTTCAACAGTCAACTATATACCCATTTCTAAATTATAGAAAATAATAATATCTGAAAAAATGTATGTGAAATTCATAATAATTTACAAATGAGTTGTGAATTATAATTTGTTTCAAATATCTTTTATTTTTATTTTTTAGGTTGCAAGGTTGGATGGAAAATACCGTAGGACTCTGATTGCTGGTGAGATGGAAAGTCCTAGAGCAATAGCATTAGATCCAAGAAAAGGGTAAGGGTTAGGAATATTTAATTTTTAGAAAACCTGTAATATTCATGTAAAATTTTGGAAAAACCTTGTTTAAGAAGAAGCGATTGAGGTTGCCATAGAAATGGGATTCTATGAATTTTTCTCCTAATATATAGTTAAATTTCATTTGAAATTAACTTTAACTTTGCATTTCTTGTTGTGTAATTGCCTGCACTGGGTAAACATGACTGTTTGATGGTGTACCAAGAACTGATTAACATACATTTGCTTTCCATTTGAATCTTAAGATAGTTTGATCACAAAAGTGAGAAAAAAAGTGGCCTAAAAAAATATTGGGCTGTTTGGTGTAACCTCCACCTCCAACATGTCGGAATAATGATGTTATAAAAATTTTAGAATATCCGGGAAATTTTCACATTAATTTTAGAATTAAGAGGAGTGCAATCAAATGTTCATAGTCACTTTCATTATGTGTAAAAAAAAAAAAAACATGTACCACTACAACCCATGAAGGGATTTGGGTTCAGTACTGTTCGGAAGTACTGTTTCAAGACCAACAGGTGTGCAGGGAGATGATCAGGCCAGGATCACGCTCAACCACCAGGTTTTCTCCCTTAATTAATTATTTAATTTAGAGTACCCTCTTTATAGAGACTGGATGTGCCCACACAGGTCTCCTGACCCCAGGGTCAATCCACAGCTGATGAAAAATGACTTGATATGACATTTCATGTCATGATGTACGTGTTATGTATGTATGTCACGTTTTTCTTTTATCTATTTGTTTTACAATGAAACATATAAATAGGTGATAAGTGTGGCCTACAATTTGAATGGGACTTTTTCCAAAAAAAAAAAAAAATCTATGTACATATTAGCAGTAACTTAAGGAAGTAGCCTGAACATCTAATAACTAATTTTTAAAAGATTATTCATGACCCTTAATAACCCCCCATGATACCGTAATAACTGGTAAAATTCCTGGAGATTCCCGGAACAATCAACTGATTTTGTTTTTCATTTTTTTGTGGATATCTCAACAAGTATGAGGTTTGACGCAAATATTATTCTATACAAAATTGAAGTGTTTCAAAATCTCAATACAATTTTTTCAATACATTTCCTTGGTAAAATAAATGGTTATGGAAATATTAGAGAAATAAAATTAATGGAATTAAATCTTCAGTTAATATTGCTTCAAACATTATGAAATCGCGATTTCCAAAAGACCTGACACCGATTTAAGGTTGAATTTGTTTTACTAACATTTCCGAATATTTAAAAAATATATTATAATCAAATCAAGAAGGGATTGAATCAACTTTGTTTTATTGATTTTAATAACCAATACAAATTCTCAAGACTCAAGAAAATAAATGGAAGCAATATTAATTGTCAGTTATATATCTTCCAATACACATTATTTGATAATTATTACTTTTCCCTGTTTCATCCAAAAGTTTGTGATATTAACGAATAGTAAACAAACAAATTTTCTATATGTTGTAAGTCCTCCCAACCCATTCCCCTGTCCACCACCAGAATCTGACAATGAGTTATACAATGTTTATACTAATTATGTAAAGAACAAATTAACTGAAAACCAATTATAATTGTAATAATGGTCGTCTTAACGTTCATATACGCGAACTTCAATAGTCAACCATGTGAAAACCTCATGTATCCACTTTATCAACCTAACATATGTTTTATTAATAAATAATCAAAATCAAAACATTTATTATTGATGTATACAATTTAGACGAACAGACAATAGAAAACTCAATGAAATGTTCAACTAAACAATAGACTATAGATAATTAATAAAACTTAATCTAAGCAGTAACCTAAACTTAACTACACTGACAGGCGAAAAATTCCACCCACTTGATTTTTTCATGTTTTCATCTAAAAATATTTCTGCTTTGGATTGGTCTATTGTTTTTAATGAATAACTAAGTAATCTTTGTTTATTTTCAATTAGGAATGTTAATATAGAGGACAATAATCCTTAATCCTTAATTCAATGAAATGATTCTAGATTCTAATGTTTACTTTCTATGGAATCAAAATGTTTATTCAGTATCATTAGTTCAGTGCCGTTTCTTGCACCACATTTCTTAGTCTCCGGCTTTTAATTTTTTCAATATTAAGTTTAAAAATATTAGCCTCTTAGTGCTGAGGATGTTGCGCGTGGTGTGGCACTTACTGATTATGGATGTTCAATTAGATATGCAGCTAATGCCATCGGAGTTCCATATGAAACTTTATGAGACGCCGTCAGGCCTTTTCGGGAAACTGGTTCTTACAATAGAAGGCCCGGTTCTGGACGGCCTAGGGTAACAGAACCACGGGATGACCGGTTTTTGACTTTGAGAATTTCACGAAACCGGCACCTTACCGTTGTTCAAGCGATTCATCAGCTCGAAGAAGTTCCAAGTGTGCAAATTTCTGAAGGTACCGCTCGAAGAAGATTAAATGAGTATGGATTAATGGCTTTTCGTCCAATAAGAGGACCAGAGTTGACCAGAACTCACAGAGTAACACAGCTGGCTTTTGCTCGTTTAATGATTATGGTCGAATTTAGACCACTGGGAGAACACTAGTTCTTTTAATTTTTTTTTCCATTATTGCCTGCTTAATATGATTATTGTTAAGTGATTCCAGAAGTGGTCTTGGATCTTGGCCTTTTCCAATTTGGAAGTAGTCGTTTATGGCATATTCTAGTAATTTTATGTTTACCTCATAACAGGCTGATACTGTACACGGTTAAAGTCAGACTTCCCCAATTACTAATTTTTAAGGAAGCATCAATTTCGATTATTCAGTGCATTTATTTCAAAAATACATTTTAATGATTCAATAATTGCAAATTTGAATAAATATTTTCTTTGAAAATTTTTCCTCTGTAATCCCAAAAAATGTAATTAAGTTAATAATCTAATGAAATAAAAAATTTAAAAAAAATTCTTAGTTTTTTCAAAATGAACTGTTTTAGCAGTATTTCTGATTTTCTTTGCATATTTTAAAAGTTAATTTTTTTTATTATATGTTATTTTGAAAATTAGGACAATTAACCAGGACTCTGTTTGAAACTAAGTGATGGAAAGCCGGAACTGATTTTAATAATAATACTTTATTTATTCTGGGCTGAGTCCCTTTAGAATAATACAGGAAGGAGCCGTAGATATACATAAACAAAAATACAGAGTAATTAAATAGTTATAATACAAAAAATTTTAATCCGGTTATTTGTTGTCATATATGGCATCTTCAGTTTGACCCATTTTAAGTAAGGGGGCCACAAGGCTGGGAGAGGGCAATGCTTAATTTTCAGACTGTTTTCGGTTTTTCACTTGTAACTTTGAAATGACACATCCTAGTAAAAAATTTGTTATAATATTGATTAAAGAAAATTAAATGAATACCTCAAATATGGGATTCGGTTCAGAAGAAGGTTAAAAATATCCATGAATAAAAGAATTGTTTTGCAAATTTGATGTAAAATCCTACAAACGCATTTTAAACAATTTTTTACTTGAAAGGGGATAATATAGAGGAAAATGTATTAAATGAAAGTTTTATAATTTTGCATTTATTAATTACATACATAAAATAATTTTTTATTTAATTCGATCGAATTAAAGTATAGAAATCTTAAATATTTTAAATTTCTGTAGTAGGTAAAGTAGAGGTGAAAAAGGAAACTATTAATGTGAACCAGTACTGCAACATTTGATTAATAAGATTAATCAATTAATAATTAATAAAATTATTACTCACTTTAAGAATGACTGACAAATGTCTATTTCACTTTTACTAAACATATGATGGAAATTTAAAAAGTTAAGATCTCTCTACTTTACCACAATTAGAACTAAAAAAAAATTTTAATCATTAACCTTTTCCCTGCTGTGAGTGATGAGCTTTATATATACACAGTGCTACGTAAGACAGCTGCCTGACTGCCTGACATACTTATTACCTGCCTTCCACCCTTCATTACTATCTGTTACATTGTTTTCCATCCTCCTTTTTGATTCGGGCTGTGGACCGACTCTGGTGGAGTTTCAGACTGTCGTAGCCAGATCGGTCTCTCCCACCATCTCTCTTAAATAAATTTGGTGGCCACACATCCAAGTGAAGGGGAAGGGAGGTCTGTTGGGTCCTGCTCTCTTGGTAAATACCAATTCAGATCCAACTGCCATAATTTGGATATAGGCTTATCTCTGACTCCAAGTCCAAGTACTGGAGGTGACACTATTTTGTGCAGGGGATGCTTGCATGAATTTTTGTATTATCAACCAAGTCCAGTCCCAATAGCAACTAGGTCTCCAGTTAATAGCTTACCAGTCACATCTGCACCAACCACCAACCATAATTCTTTAGAATCATGGGTTTCTGCAACCTGAATACCGTGTTCTATACAAATATTTCTAATGTCATTTATTTTGGGTGAGACCTATTACAGTAAATAAATAAACATAATATATACAGTGAATTATACTGATAATATAAACCTGACCTTATGGAGGTAGGCTTTGTTCTAAATATATTTTAAAGAAGCAGATATAGCTTGGCACAGCCTTTAAAGAGAATTTAATAATATTAAATTAAATAAATAAATAAAGTTAATTAATGCAAAATTGTTAACAAATAATTAATAGTTATGTAATATAGCTATTAAAAAAAAAAGATTTTCCTTAATAATGGTATATAGGTGGGTATATTACAGTGAAGTGAAAGTATAGAATTTGAGACACAGGGTCTTTTTAAGTTTTATTACTAATAAACACATTTAAATATAAAATATATATCAATTGAGAAACCTATATCAAGACTTTGTTTTGTCATTTTGATTAGTTTTTAGTTCTTTAATAAATAATTTAAAAAATATATAATATAGTTATTGTTTCAAGTTCCTTTGACAATTTTTCATTTTTTCTAGGCTATTGTTTTGGACTGATTGGGATGCCAATGCTCCACGTATTGAGAGTTGTTCAATGGCTGGATATGGGAGAAAAGTTGTGGTTTATATTGATCATATTGGCAATGGTGCTTGGCCAAATGGCCTGACGTTGGATTATGTCCTGGAACGAATCTACTGGATTGATGCCCGGTAATTTATCTTAAATTTTGAAATGAATGTAGAAAATTAAAATTTTTGCATCATTACTTTTAAAAAAATTCATTTTTTGACATTATGCTACCAGAGTGAAAAATTAACATCTTAGTTTACATGGAACTGGCAGAACATAACTTAATAAGAAACAATTATTGCTATACTCGTTTCAATCACAGAATGATTAATTTTAGTGTTCTTAGGAAAGGATTATTGTTAGTTCTTTAAGCTTCAAGGCATCCACCATTTTTTGTCTATAATTAACAAATGAATGATTTTTTCAATATTACGAAACTCTCTTCTATTTGACAACTTATTTTGAATCAGTGTAAAACCTGTATCAAATATGGAACTTATTAGGAAACTGAATTATATTTGTACTTAATTGAATAATTTTAGTTAGTTGTGTGTTTATTAATATTTAATGCAATTGCAAGTGACGGATCAAGATAAGTGGGGAGCCTAAGCTGCCACTCAGCAGAGATGGGCAAGCGCTGAGTGTTTTACCTGTCCATGTTTGAGTACTTTAGTCATGGCCTCCCTTCATGATTGACAAGAATAAAGTTTAATCATGACACATACGATTTGATCACCACTCCTCAATACTTTCCACTTCATATTGTCGTGTTTTTAAGAAATGATAAATAAATATATTGCCACACATTGGGGGCCTAAGTGTAGCATTTTCCACTGGGTTGTAAAATTAAATAAAAAAAAATTTGATTCACAAATAATTTATTTAAGAAATTTAACTACAACTGAAATAATTATTGTATGTAATTACTGTTTTTCACTGGTGTAGTGCAAGATTATTAAATACAATATGAACATAAAACATTAATACAACTGATAAAATATATTAACAAAACATTACTTATAAAAACTTTTCAAGTTATTAAAATTGACATATAAATATTCCTATATGCCAGAATATGCTCTTAGTTCACATTATTGTTTTATTATTATAATTAATTATTGTTTTTAATTTATTTAAGTTCAAAAGAAAATTTTTTGTCAAGACTTGTTTTCAATTCATGTATAAATGAATTTTGATTGAATAATGAAATCAATTTAGTACTTATTCCATTGGCAATTTGAAATATTATTTCAGAAATATATTATTTCGAGAGTGCCTAGATCTAGTTCATGCCTCTGTAGATATCTGTGATGGAGTGGGCCAGTTCTACTGGAAGCTAGGATGGATTAAATTTTATCTTTCAGATCTTATCTGATCTACCCCCACCACTCGCCTCAACACGACAATCGGGCACAATCATGTTCCCCACCGTGAAATATCTCATTTCACAAAAAAAAAAAAAAGAAAAACCAAACTCAGAGATTGGTAATTACCACACAAGGCACAAACAAGAGGAAAATTGCTTTGTTTACAATAAACAAAGAGAGAAATTATTCAAAATAGATTTTTGGAAAATAAGAAATAAAGTGAACCAGATCAAACATAGGCTCATAAATTACAATTCATTTGAAATAAAATGACTCCTCATTAAATTTAAGAAAAATAAATAAACAATATACATGCCCATAAAAGGTTTCTGCAGAAGGGAGATGCACTAACTTGTGCACCGGTCGCACTAAAGTGGCTGCAGCAGTCCTCAATTTTACCACCCTAACTACACTATCAGGACCTGGAAGTGTCTCTATTATCCTGGCAAGACACCACTCCTGCAGTAGAACATCTTTTTTATGTATAATAACAAGGGTTCCCTGTTTTAAATTTTCCCTGTCAGTATACCACTTGTTGCGAGGCATCAGATTGTGGAGGTTCTCATTATACCATCTCTTCCAAAAATTAGGAAGAGTCTTGGAAATCATCACCCAACGGCTTATCAAAGGAAACACGGGTGTGTCTTCTTGTTCTGTTCTGGCTAGGAGAGGTTGACCTGTAAGAAAGTGTCCTGGGGTGAGGTAATCTAGGTTATCTGAAGGCTGCCTGCTAATATTACAGGTAGGACGGGAATTGAGAACGGCTTCAACTCGTACCAGAAGAGTATAAAATTCCTCATATGTTAACGCATGATCCTGAAGAACGGCAAGAAGATGTCTCTTAGCGGATTTAATAGCTGCCTCCCATATACCCCCGAAATGAGGAGATGCTGGAGGAGAAAAGGTCCACTTCATACCTGTCCGACTTAAATAGTTAGAACTGGGTTCGCTCTGGTCCTTAAAAAAAGTGATAAAGCTCCTTCAACTTCTTGGATGCGTCTGAAAAGGCGATTAGTTGCATGGATGATGCATTCTGGCTGACAATACAACAAGGCAGGCAAACATTCCTCAGCACGTAAATTCTTTAAGGAAAACCTTCCATAATGAAGACACACTAGAGGGCAACTCATCATCTCAATTAACTTTAAGCAGCCACCAATGTTGTAATATGCATTTAACAGAAAAGATTACTGGACTGATATATCCATTTATATTGAAAATTTTGGCAATGAAGAATAGAATACCTCACTTTATTAAAATTACTTTAATTTTAATAGGGCTCACTTTCCTATATTGAATACCTGAAATGATCGAGTTTAGGATCCCAAAATCTTGACAGTCAAGGAATCTCCATCCAGGCTCAACAGAACTTATTGACTACCCTCGTGTATAACAGAAAGTACTTTTTTGGAATTGCTGGAGAACTTTCTGAGTTTAAACCCACCTGCTCCAAATAAGGCCATCTACTCATTATACAGTTCCAGAGCCTCTTCACTATTGGGACCACCAGTGATTATGTCGTCTAAATAAATCTAGTCATGACACTGGGCAGCTTTAAGAAAATTATGGCCTTCTTCACGAAATAACTGTACAATGCCTCTCTGAGCAATAAAGGAAGAACATTTCAACCCAAATGGCCAAGGTAACCAACTCATACTCTTGGATCGGCTGTGAAGATTCACTTCTCAAAAAAAAAAATAATAAGTTTTGATTAGTTTCGGCAATGCGGATACACCTAAACATCATTTTTATATTGCATGTTAAGGCCACAGGAAAGCATCTAAAATGGTCTATAAGTTCCACAATATCAGTCTGGATCTGCGGACCGGTCAAAAGTAAATCATTCAGTAAGTTCCCTCCCACCATCTTCTCCAAACCGTTAAATACGACTCTAAGCTTTGTCGTGGAAGAATCTTCAATGACTGCATGATGGGTCACCACGTATGGAGAAGGGTTCTTAGCGAGGCAGACATGATCCAGTCTTACATATTCGTGCATTTGTGCAACATTTGTAATTGTATATGGCACATGTAATGCAACAACGATTATGGTCCCGATAACAACCCAGTCAGACTGATTAAAGTAGCACTGCCATTCATTCTTCCAATTCTTTACCATATCTATAATTATTCTCTTCAAAATGCTACCTTTCTTACATCCTGGGAAACCGCCCTAGTACGTCCCTTGAAGAAGACCTCTAACCTATCAGCTCTTAATGATAACATCCCAGTCAGACTGATTAAAGCCGCACTGCCATTCATTCTTCCGATTCTTTACCATATCTATAATTATTCTCTTCAAAATGCTACCTTTCCTACATCCTGGGAAACCGCCCTAGTACCTGTTAGTAGTTGAAGAATACCTCTAACCTATCAGCTCTTAATGATTTCTCTCCAATTTCCCTTCTTTCAAATCTCTCAAAGTCTTTAGAGCAACTAGCCCAATCCTAGCTATCCCATTTTTTAGATCATAATAATCTCCTAAACCTCTACCTGGTTTCAGGAATGGCTATTCTACTTAGTCTGCCCTAATCAAAATTTCCCAAGACCTTCATATAGTTATAGATCAGCAGAAACTAACCATCCTTATTCTCCTTGACTTCTCCAAAGCTTTTGATTCAGTAGACTACAGCATCCTCCTCACCAAACTTTAAAATATCTCCTTTTCCTCTAGTGCCCTTAATTGGTTCCAATTCTTCCTTACCGGTTGCTCCCAGTATGTTGTAATCCCTAATAGCCCCCATCAGAATCTCCACCCTTGTCCAGAAGGATTCCACAAGGCTCTTCCTTATTCCCCACTCTTTTTTTCCATCTATTATGACCTCCCGTCCTTTATCCTGCACTGTCAATACCACCTGTATGCCGACGGCGTTCAAATTTACGTCTCCTTCAATCTGACTAGATGCCATTCTTAAGCTCCAAGAAGATATTAATAGAATAAGTGCTTGGGCAAATCTCAACAGGCTCACTCTGAACACCAAGAAGAAGAAAGCCATCTTGATCGGATCTTCCTCACTCCTCAAATCCTTCCCGGTATCCTCCAATCTTCTCCTGAACAATTAACCTATCTTATTCCATACTACCATTAAAAACCTAGGTGTTACATTCGATCAAACCCTCTCCTGGAAATCTCACATCACATCTCCCAAATTTCCTGTCGCACTATCTCCACCCTATAACAGTTCAATCGTCTAAGTTATCTCCCTCTATATTAGCCCTGTCAACTCCTAGTTTCCTCTCTTGTTTTCCCCCACTTCGACTATGGCTCTATGGTGTACGGTGGACTCTCAAGGCCATACAGTACACCATACAGCCATAGTCCAAGTGGGAGATTTTGAGGCCAAACTTAAAAGCCTAATGAATTGCGCATTACATTTTGTTTTCGGAATCTCAAGAGATAAGCATATTACCTAGTATTACACTGAGTTGAAGTGGCTCTATTCATCCTATCGCCATCAGTACATCAGTACTTCCTAGCTACCTTTCTTTCTGTACCAGGTCATTAGAACTCATCGACCCTCCTATATTTTTCACAGCTTACAATTTAAATACTCCATCCAATCCCGTCCCACTAGATCTAGTACTTCTGACCTCTATCTTCCTCCTCACCGAACTACTGCGTTTGACAAATCATCTGCAATTCAAGCCGCCTCTCTCTGGATTTCCATCCCTGCTGGTATTCAAAGCGAACAATCAGTTTCCTCTTTAAACACCTACTACTTTCTCAATCCGACTGATTACGAAATATATCTAAAAGAACTATCTAAGTACCTCCAGAAACTATTTCTGTCATTTTTGTTTCCTTTATACATATGTATGCTTTTCTTGTCTTTTTCTCTCTCTTCGTCTGTATTTTTACTTTTAATTAACTATTATTATAAATATTTTATTTATTTATGACCACACATACATGTATTCTGTAGTTCTAATTTGTTATAAAGGGACAACAGTCCCAGAATAATGAAATATATATGCATTTCATTTTATAGTAGCAAGTGTCATGGCCGCTAGTGCAGTTCAACTTACATGTCACTCTGTCTTTGTTACTATCTAATGTGCTTATTATTTAAAATACTGCTGTAAGACTTTTCCAACAGTGACTGTATTAACAGATTTACATTTTTACATATGGATTTATATGGAAGAAGATAGCGGAGACGGTTAAACTGTTTCAGGGTAGAGATAGTACGACGGGAAATTGGGGAGATGTGTGGTTTCCAGGAGATGGTTTCATCAAAGGTAACACCAAGGTTTTAAGGGAGTTCCGATCAGTTGTGTGTTTTTTGTTTACCAGATTTTTTTTTTTTTTTTTGTTATTATTCTCTGAGGCTCCAAAGCCCACATTTCTATCTCTGTATACTATTTTAAAGGGACTTGTCCCAGAATGAATAAATTATTATTGTAAACTTGTATTTTTCAATTCTGAAAATATTTTTAAACTAGCATATTTGAAATTTTAATTTACTTTTTTTTAATTTTGTAGATCTGACTCAATACATACTACTACTTATGCTGGCACAGATCACCATGAGGTGTTGAAAGGACATGAAATGACATCGCATCCCTTTGCTATCACTCTATTTGAAAACTATGTCTTCTGGACTGATTGGAGGTCCAGTTCTGTAATTAGAGCTAATAAGTGGACCGGATCACAAGTTACAGTTCTGCAGAGGACCCTTTCTCAGCCATTTGATATCAAAATACTGCACCCAAGCAGGCAGCCTAGGGGTCAGTTTCTCTTCGACCGATTGGAATGATTCAATGAAAAATATTTATTTGTATAATTGATCAAAACATTGAATTGATAACCTTAATGTTTTAAAAAATAATCTACCCATTTTTTAATGATGTAAGATATTATTTATAACATTTCAGGCCTGTTCCCAAAACTACTTAATCATGTTTTCATAATTTGGTTTGGCTTGTGTATTGGTTTTTGTCACCTAGAAGTACACTCCTTCTCGTTTAAAAAGCTTACCCCAGTGGTATATTTGTGAGTGAAAATAGTCTTTATACTACACAATTTATAAAATGTCTCCATTGTTTCATTGCTGTTAATTCATGGAACATGAAAAAGTCAACTAGTGCAAAATGGAGAGAGAAATACTTTATTTAAAGTAGTTCTGCCATCCTATATAGGGTTGCTCGATACACAGCATACTCATAAATCCTTTTTTGAGCATAGCACTTAATCATACTTGAATATATAAATATATATATACATATCCTTTTCCATGTCTCTCATCATATATAATATTAATACTATACTATACTAACAATCACTATTATACAATATACATATATATATATATATATATATATATATATATATATATATATTTCAGTGAAATCGATAAAACACAAACTCTGATATTTACTTTGGTCAAACATAACATATTGGTGAAAAAGCCTTTAGTTTTCATTTATGCCTTTAAGCTAATGCTTTTGCATACCTAATATCACTTTTTTTTTTAATCTAGTTGTATAATTCATGTTGATATATGTTCAAGCTTGTATTGCTTGCATGAGTTCAAGTAACCTGGAGATGGTCACCCAACCTCAACATTACTATTAGGGGGACCGAAAAGTAATTTCGTTTTCTTACATTAAATTTAAACACACACATTTGAATGAGTTTTTATTTTTAATCAATAATGTAATGATGTAATCATGCTCATTGTCAACAAACTTTTGCCATCTAGTGTGCAAAATTTCGATGTTGGATCAATAAAAATCATTTGGTTTTCGAGCAAAGTATATAGAGATGGCAATCATCATATCATGGATATCATCCAAATCTGTAAACCTTTTGCCACTTAGAAAGTGTTGAAACGATACGAATAAATGGAAATCCAATGGTTCCACATCAGGCGAGTATGGTGGGTGAGGCAGTACCTCCCACTCCAATTCATTAATTTTTTCCCCAATTTGTCTTGTGCTGTCGTATAACATTATTTTGTTGGAGAACAACACCTTTTCTTTTGACAATCAATGGCCACTTTTCAATTAAAGATTGATTTACATTATCCAATTGTTCACAGTAAAGCTCTACATTCACAGTTTGGCCAAGTTTCAGCACTTTAAAATGAACAATGCCACGAATACTCCAAAAACACACACAAAAGGGCCTTTTTGAGGTGGTAAACCTGGCTTAGCACTACTTTGTGGTGATTCATTTGGAGAGAGCCACTGCCTTTTGCGTTTTGGATTATCATAGAGAACCCATATTTCATCTTTGGTGATCAAGTGCTAAAAAAACTCTTCTATATTGTGCCGTTGAGCCAATAAGCTGCAAGAGGTTGTTTTCTAAGGTGCTGCAAATGTTCTTGGATAGTCGACCAAGGTTGGTTGAGACCGTCTGACAATTCCTCGATTGTCTGACACGGATTCGCTTTCACTTCCGCCCTTAACACATTAGTTTCTGACGTTGTTGGTCTTTCTGATAAATACGAGTCGGAAAGATCAAAATTACCGGATTTGAACTTGAAAAACCACCTTTGGCATTTACAAATGTCTAATGCATTTAGATTAACATTGCTAATCTTTTTGGTAGCAACTGTTGTGTTACTACCCTTGCTCATAAACTCATAAAGCATGCAATACCAGATATGTACCTCTTCTAGTATTTGGCTGGGTATTTTACTCAAAATAGTAAAAAAAAAAATTGTAATCAATTGTTTACAACTAAACAAGTTACTTTAACCATAGAATGTCTTTGCCATGACTTAGATGTACACAAGGAACAGAAAATGACAATCAAATAGTGAAATGCACAGAAACAACATTACTTTCCAGTCCTACTAATATGAACTATAGTTTCCAATGTACAGTCTCAGACTACCAATAACTTCTTAAACAATTTCTTTTTCAATAGCTAATTCTAACTTGACCTTGGATCAAGTTTTTCTTTGTCTTAAGGTTACTTCTTCAATAGTGAGGCATTTCAACAGAAAGATTGGCCCAGGAAACTCTAGACAATTAAGAACAAGTGTGATTGCATTGGTTTGATGGGGAGTATGCAACAGTCCCTGAAGCGAGAAATAAAGCTCATCGAAACATGGTTTAGAAGCGGCATACAGGGAGAGCATCTGAAGAGTATTCAGTCAAGAGAAAAGAGGAAAAGAGGCTTCATTATGACACCTTCTTTCCATGGAAGAAGAGGGAATGGGTGCGGAAGCAGCTTGAGGAAATGGGGGAATACAACAATCAGATGGAGTCCAGAATCTTTTATCAGAGGATTAACCAGTGTAGAACCGCCTTCAAACCACTTGTCAGGGCATGTAGAAAGGAGGGTGGATCCATTATCACAAAAAAGGATAAAATACTGGCCCATTGGTTCCATAACTTTGATAGTATGATGATGACATCGCGGTAGACTTAGAAGAGTGGGAAATACCTGGTAGTGATAAAGATACAGAAATTCCCGATCTACCTAATTATGATGATGTGAAGGATCCTTTGAATAAGCTTAACTACAACAAAGCTCCAAGTGAGGATGGGATTCCAGTCGAGATATTTCGTAGGTGCTCTAATTACTGGGATATTTCGCTTCTACAGTGCGCCAACAAGGTTCTTTCTAACATAATTTATAAGAAACTTCTCCCATTTGTAGAGAGAGAAATTGGAAAATATCTGGCGTGTTTCAGAGGTGGGAGATGTATAGTTGATCAGATGTTCAGTCTCCAGATGATACTCGAGAAGCCCCAGGAGTGTTGGATGATTACTCGCCACCTCTTTTTGTTGACTCTAGGAGTGCCTATATTAACATTAAAAGGCCTAAATTGTATGTAGTATTAGGAGGTCGAATCAAGAGCCTTTTTTCTCTCTACCCTGAATTCTCTGGATGACAAATCTGCAATTCAGGTTGTACAAAGTGAGTTTAAGAATTTTATTGGCCCGTGTCTGGAGTTGAATTTATATTGTGTCATTTAAGCCCCACTAATGCTGATAGAACACTACTCTCAACCATAGTTTTGTCCTGAATGATGCAGTTGACAGTGCTTTGCATTTGACTCTCTCTAAATTGCATATAGAGCGTTTTAGTGGTAAGTACGATTAAAATCTATTTTATTCCAAATTTCAAACCTGGATTCACAGCAACATTTCACTTTCCATTATCTCAAAATTTCACTACTTGATGGAGAGCCTTTAAAGCTTATTTGTGCATTCCCTATCACTGTGGAAGGTTATGCCGAGGTATTAAAACTGCTTAAGGATAGATATCACAATAAACATGCTTCTATTAATGAGTTCTTAGATCAGATTTTAGATATAGCACCCTATTACTGCCAGTGCTTCATCCCTACAAGGGTTTTTAGATATTTATCAAACTATTGTTCAGACTCTGAAATGTCTTAAGGTTAATGTAGATTCAGGCAACACTGAGCTGTTTGTTATATTGTTCCTTCAAAAATTAGATAAAACTTTGCTACTTCAGTTCGAGCAAACCCTGTCTGGGACTGATTTGCCTTGACTTGAGGGCTTAATTAGCTTCATCAAAAGTCAGTTGCTCGTTTATAAAAACTCTTGAGTTATCAAAACCAAGTGCTTCTGGTTCTATATACCAAGGAAAAAGTTAAACTCTTCCATACTGCATTAAAAGCTGCTAAAATTTTGTAGTTCTGAGTTTTTTGTAGAGGCGAACATCCCAAATATTCTTGTCCTTCTTAAGTTAAGTAGTAATAAGTAATGTTCAGCAGCACCACAAAAAGGTCAAGAATATGAAATTATGAAGAGAAGAATAGTTGGGGTGTTCAGTCAAAAAGGAAGGCAAAAATAAATGATAATATTTATTTTTTACTTTAAAAAAAAAAGAAGTAAAAAATAAATATTATCATTTATTTTTGCCTTCCTTTTTGACTGAACACCCCAACTATTCTTCTCTTCATTATCCATGACAGTCAACCAATTACCAATTATAAATATGAAATTATGTTTCACCTGTTTGTCTAAGCATTTTAATAGCAAATTCAATTTTATTAATACCTGTTCCAAATGTTGTAAAAGACATCATTCAATTAAATGGCATTTATGGGGTATCCATCCAATCTTAGGGTTTAGCGAAACCCATTGCATGTTGGAATTCCCGCTGGAAATATGATTAAAATTGATCATGTCTTTATGATTTTGTATAAAATCACAAATACATTACCTAGTGCACCTATTGCTCCTCATGTTAAGGAATCATTTTTGCAATATCAACTCTCGGACTTTGAATTTGATATTCTTTCGAATGTTAATGAGCTTATTGGCGCTGAACTCAATACCTCCATTTTAGAAAGTAAAGTGGTTTTTCTTTGTAAGGGCATGCCTATTTTATATAAAATTCGCCTTGATCATGTTTTAATGGGAACAGGAATGGGTTGATGACTCGTTATGTGTCTGCTGGTATTGAAGTTATAAAATTAATTTAAAAAAATGTTTTTGTTAGATGTGTGACCGATCCGATTCAGAAAAACCAGTACCCAAAAAAAAAAAATGAATAAGGAAGGTATGAGGTGAGGTTACTCTTGGGTGAGTCAGGTAACCTTGCTCGGCATTTAGCCTTGGAAAAATGATTTATAAAAAATCCTTTATTTTTTGCTGAATACAAAAAGTACATACAGGAATATTTTCATGCAGGCTGGTCAATGACCCTAACATTTTAAATCACCCTCATTATGTCCTACACCCCTTTATTGATCAGGAAGGGTTAGTTAGAGTTGGTGGTTGCATTGCCTATTGAAATCTTTCTGAAAGAACCAAACATCCTGTTTTGCTACCCAAGGGTCATCATGTGGTTACTCTGATTATTAACTGTTACCATGATAAGTATTTCCTTGCTTACTCTCATTGCTCCAGTCACTTATTGCTTCTTCTTTTTGAATAATTTCCTTTCGCCAATCTTTGGGCTCCACTCTTTTTAAGTGCAGATCTTGCTTCCAAACTAATCCTCAAAATTAAATTCCACTGCAGATGTTCTCTAACCTACTACCTCCTCCCAAAACCAAACATTTCAAAATTTGATTCATCTCTATACAAATTTTTTCTACTCTTCCTTCCTCCAATTTTTGTGTTCTTTTGCAATCTTAATCAATTCTGTCACTTTTGTTTGTTTATAGATGAAAAAAGTGGTTTTCTTCTGGCAACATAATCTTTAAGGCTAAATGATGTGAGTTTCCTTCTGATTAAGGATGACAAAATTTGGGCCCTTGTAGTTTTCTGCTAGATTTTTAGTGGTTGTGCTAACACAGTAATTTTGAATGTTGTTCAATAACAGAACTATGTTCTTTAGGCCTGCCTGAATGTTTCATGTCTCCAGTTTGCTTGGTTTTTAACAACTCTTTGATGACACAATGAATTCCAGAAATAAAATCTTTTTGAATTTCCCTGATTTTAAGTCCTCGTTGATAAAAAATTATAATTTTATGTTTTGTCAAAGATATAATGTTTTGCTATTTTATGAAACAAAAGTAAAATTAAATAAAAATCAAAAAGAAATTATGAAATATGGAAGGTTAAATTAAATTATCGAAAAAAAAAATCTAAGAATTCTAATATTAGAACAATGTTCACAGATATACTCAAAAGAGGTAGCTTACAATCAGTGGATCACCAATTTCAACCATTTTTTTTGGTGATACTACACAAAAAAATATTGGGCATATGTCGTGGTGTTCTTTGAAACTCTTAAATACGAATTTTTATAGAAATAAAAAATTGCAAAATTCAATAATTGATTTTATTAGATTTTTCCTACCGGTAACTAAAGTATTCATAAATTATCAGGATATTCTGCAAATTCAACATTAGTACAACTGCTGTTAAGCTGAATTGTTGTTGTTCACTTTTCTTCCAACCCATATGGATAACTTTTATATTTCTTTCCTTTTTAAACCAGAAATGAAGAAAACTCCATCATTCCAATACTTTTAAAATGTTTTTTATGTGGGAATTTAAATCTGGTTGATGGAATCGAGACCATGATTATGTTATCTAAGTAAACAAAAAAATTTGGCTCCTTGTCTGCTCTCAATACATCATCAATAAGCCTTTGCCAGATGACGAGCATTATAAAAACCAAAAGACAGAAATGATAGAGGTTGGATTGAGGACATTTTCTTTGCTTCCTGTAGCCATCAGTATTGGCCAGTGAGCACTTTTTTTTTCGAGGGATGACAATATTTTGGCATCTTATAACCTATTGAGGATATTTGAAAATGTAGGAGAGCCTAGGCCTTCATTTTTGTCAAGGCATTTAATTGGCAGTAATCTACACTGAAATGATTGGATCCATCGGATTTCTTGACCTAAACAACAGGAGATGACCAAGTACTCTGTGATGGCTATACAATGCCTTCATCAAGCTCTATATCCAAAATTTCTTGGAGTTTTGGCGATACACTGTACTAATGCTGTTTAACTGGCTTATTATCAGCTGTATTAATTTCATGCTAGACCCTGCTAGTGCATCCCAAAATAGAAGGTCAAATATTTCGCTAATTTTTGATAAGGCGGTTTACGATCCTCTCCTGCTCTGGAGTAAGATAGGTGCTGGTTAAAACAGCATGATTGTTCTGCGATAAAGCTAAACACTTTTGGTAAGATATGAAATACTAGCCTGGATTGGGCATCTTGCATTAAGTGAGATTGGCCAATTTGACCTGATGAAATGAATGACACGGTTTCTTACATATTGAAAAATACTGCCCAGCAACTGTCATGAACTGCAGGTATTGTGGTGATAGATAACATGTCTTAGTAAATTGCCGAATACAAAAGTCTGATGGACCACCAACACTTATAAACTGCTGTAAAACTAATGCGCCATCTAACCATCCGACAAATGATAAAGGCTGCCGATCATACAAAAGAGCTATCAAAAGTCTTGTGATGAGGACAAATTACAATGAGAATGAATGATAATTCTACCCTTTGGAAAGCCCAGCACAATTAAATAGGAGACCGATCACGATGGCAGAATGTAGACGCATGGCCTTACTAAACAAAATAGACATTGCTGCTCTTCAGGAAAAGACTAATAGGAGAGTTAAAATGTCTCTAGCAGAACCACAAGACCGCATCATTTCTAGTAGTGGTAGTGGACTCAACGATGGACTGCAGAGCGCCCTTCTGATCTTTAATCATCATCTCACAATTACAATGCAGCCAGATCTAGAGAACAAGTTTATTTCCACTACTAATATTGATTCTCCCTTTATTAATTTCGATTTAATCAATGTTTATGCAAAGTTCACGGTCCCATTGATATAGACATATTATCACAATTGTGGGACATATTAAGTAAGCTGAGTAGAAATATGATCATTATCGGTGATTTTAATGACCATTCAATTTTATAGGACAGCTGATAGACTGATCGAAAGGGTATTGTTACTCGCCTACAGAAAATAAAAGAACAAAGCAAATGCACAGCATTTCTTTTATTAACTATATCATTTTTATTAGCACCAAGTACAATTCAAATGTGTGCATTAACAAAACTTTTGTTCAATTATGTCATATGTTTTAAGTATAACATATGTGATTAATGTAGCATCTTCCTGCAGCCTCCTAGATTATTCTTACTGTTTCCAACAGGTATACTGCTTGAAGATTTCACTGCTAGAAATGGATTTTGATGGTTTGGTGGGAGCAGCCCTCCAGTTGCAGGCAGCCCATTAGTGTAGTTATACCCGTTATTAATGCCCTAATGAAATTAAGAGACTGAATTTTGCCTCACTTTGGCTCATGAATTTGGATCAAAGTGGGAGCAGGTCTGCACGCTTAGTTACCAGGCCTGATAACCGCCCCCTAATTAAATTTGCGGCAAAATAGTTCACTTTAGAAAATTGGGTGTACTGCTGATATAGGGTTGTCCGAAAGTACAGCAGGGGGAAAAAAGGTAAAAAAAAAGAGAGACAAAATATATTTCATCAATGTTTGTATGTTTGTCATACACACACACACACACACACACACACACACACACACACACATATATATATATTTGTATATATATATGCATACATATGTAGACCGATACAACTCACAAAAATGCACACACACACACCATATTCCAAAATAGAATGCACAACTAATTCTATTGGTATTTCTTAAATATAGAAGGCACTGAATTAATTTATTACATAAAAAGCACTAATTGATATTTTAAGTATGACTTTTTTGAATTTGAATTTTTCGTTACAGGAGTGGCAAACCTTTGTGGTATCAATAATGGTAATTGTTCTCACCTATGTCTGTTGGATTTCAATTCAATCTACAAGTGTGATTGCCCTCACGTAATGAAACTTGCTGACGACAAAAAGACCTGTGTTGGTAAGGAAATAAGTCCTTTAAATTACTTTTGAACACATTCATTGCACCAAAAATTGATTGTTTTAACTAAATTGAGTGATATTTTGTTTTTATTCATCAATTTTTTTTTTTTACAATAAATTTAATTTACTTATGTTTTTTTTTTCTTAGTTCACATTTTTCTATTTGTGTCATTAATTTGATTTTTCATTAAGTTCCACAGGCGAATTTACGGGGAGGGCTTTCGGGCTGAAGTCCCCCCCAAAATGGTAAAATGTAACCATGTTTTATGGTAAAAATATAAAAAAATTATGTATTAAAGTATGATTGCTTGTTTAATTACATTTAATAGGGCTTCAAGAATCACTTAAACAGCATTTCATATAGATAGTTAATATCTTTCTGTTTTTCCAAAGTAATTATCGTTATATATATGAAAAAAAAGCTTCCGGGCTGAAGCCCCCCCCCCCAAAAATTAAATCCTGGATCCGCTAGTGTTAAGTTTTTTTGTGGTCTAACATCTTAGTTTTCAAACAATAAATCCTTTAGTAGCGGAATTACAAAGAAAGTTTCTCAAATCATAAGCTCTGATCATACTGATACAATAATGATGACACCTTCTGTACATAGTGGTTTGAATGTGATTTCTGGTTGAGACAGACAGCAATTATTGATTTCAGTATAGTTTCTAAGTGTTTCCATTCTGTTAAGGAAAAAAGTAGGTAATAAAATTATAGCATATGGAAGCTTCTGTGAAAACAATATCTCTGGGTAGGCAGTGGTGGAGAATATTAATATAGAGTTGAGCATCCTGGCAGTGAACTTATAAGGGGAGTTTACAGTTGGTGGGTCACTGATTTCAGCAAAAGTTTCTTCTGTGATACTTCATCAAAAAAGATTGAGCAGATATCTTGGTGTTCCTTACGATGCTCTAGAAGCTGAGAAAACAAAATTATATAATTTCAAACAGAATTTATATTATTTATTTTTGACTTTGCTTTGTTCGGATTTTTAGGTTATTATTTTTTTTTGTTTCTGTTGGCATTGCAGATCTTGTAGATCTTTTGGTGAACCTTAACCAGCCTTCTCCATCTCTACCTATCTTGATCTATTTCTTTTCAGTTATCTGCATGCATCTCTTAAAGCATTTTTGTTGATTCGATTTATCCATCTGCTTTTTGACCTTCCACTTTTTCTTTTGTGTACTATTAAAGCAGTCATTGTTGTGCAGAGACTTCCAGATGGATTGATAACTCTGAGTTACCCCAGCCATCTTCAGCTCCTTGCCTTCATATTATAAAATATTGATTGACCAGTTTCTGTAAGCAGCTCTTTATTGGTCATTCTCCTTCATGGGTTAGCACTTTGATCCCAGATCGCTCCAGTTATCATGCGGAGAATTTTTCTCTCAAATCTTTCAATACTTCTGTGTGGTCTAAGTTTCAGCACAGTTAGCGTCTAACAGTTAATTATATCTTAATCAGTGCTTTGAGTAGTTTTTAGTCAGAGTTTAGTAGTTTCTTTTGACCAATCACATCTATTAATTGTGCTGTATCGACTAACGAGGTGAAATCATCAATTCACTTACATCTCTTGTCAAGAGAAGCAAAGGAAACAAAGTGAGTTTTAATCGACTTATACAGGTGCCTTGAACATCTTAGTTATGACAAGGAGAGGGGAGCGCATATGTAGCAATAAGGCACACTGCTTGCTGTTATCTGTTACTCAGTACCCTCTGTGTAAAGACTGAAGGTACATTTGTTTCTCATAGTATCATTTACCGTATTTTTGCTTTCCTATATCTATATATGAAATATATACTAAGGGAAAGTATTGCGATCGTGAAAATTTTCTAATTCGAGTTTTCAATGGAAATACATTTTTTGAGATCCCCTGAGTCTAAATAATGAAGTCTCGCAAAATGGCCTGGGAGTGTGAACAGTCTAGCTTAAAAACAAAAAGTCGTATGAAACTGGAATTACATATTTAAGGTTTGTATATGCCTGAGATTCACAGCAACTTTTTTTTTTTAAATAGGCAAACTGGAAGTGGCACTTCATATCATCGATTCAACACATTTTTAGAATTTTCTCAAAAATTGCTTAACGATTGTGATTAAACACATCATGCTGATGTACAATTAAGTGTTTTTTAATATAAGGTGACTGAAGGCGGGAAACGCTTGTTATTTTTCTGTGACAAAACTACTTAGTTCGCGCCTCTTGTCCCGAAACTTAAAAATTAGAATCTATAAAACAATTATCTTGCCTGCAGTTCTTTATGGGTGCGAAACTTGGCCGATTACATTAAGGGATGAGCAGCGTCTTAAGGTTTTTGAAAATAAAGTATTGCGTAGAATATTCGGACCGAAGAAGGATGAGTTATCCGGAGAGTTCAGACGGTTACACAACGCCGAATTGCGTGAACTGTATCCGAGTAATATAATTGAGATAATTTCATCGCGGCGAATCAAATGGGCTTGTAAAGTTGTTGGACTTAGTAACGAGAGAATTCCTAAAAGGTTAATATTTGCTGTGCCGAATGGTAAGCTTCCGAGGGGTAGACCGAAGCGAAGGTGGGAAGATTGCATTAAAGCCGATCTGAAGGGACTGGGTTTGGACGGCGAACGGTGGAGGGAGGTGTGTAATAAGCGATTGGTAGTGTCGGCATCGAACCTTCGGGTTCGCTAAGCCTTTTATTATTAATATAAGGTAGATTTTATCCTCATTGATGTTCTCCAACAGAGTGTTAATGTCGATTTTTCAAAATGTCTTTATCTAAAGTACCTCTAATTTTGTTTGTTTTAAAAAGTTAACTATTTCACACTGCAGATAGTCAATAAAAATGGTAAAATATAAACTAGTGGAGAAATAAATGATGGTTTCGAGGGATCAAGAATTGAAACTCGAGCTCGCTCGGGGTAATAGAGTGATAACGAGGAGCCGAGAACTGCCCGAAGAAAGCCAAGCAGGCCCTCAAACCTGAATGGGTTCCGATTATATTATTTCCTTATACATGTAGGGTTTTCATAAATGCTAGTGCTGGTATTATTTAATATTTAATTGTATAGATTACAGCAATATAAAAATTAAAAATTGTATATATAAGAGTGTTTAAACAAAAAATATACTCATAATGAAATGTATGGCAAAAAAAAAAAAGGATAAATAAAAAGATAATAATATAATTTTTATTAAGTATAATTTTTTTATTGAAATTTTAACTTGTTGGGAGCCTAGCTTTTCTTGCCTTTCATCTCAAAAGATATGAATATAGAAAATACAAGGTACTTACCCATTATTGGCCATTTTTTTTTTTTTTTTTTTTTTTTTTTTTTTTTTTTTTTTTTTTTTTTTTGGCTTTAAGCACGTCGACCCCTTTGGGTCCATTGTGCGCCAATATTCGCTAGGTCGTCTTATTCAAAACGTTAGTCCTGTCGCTTCCGCGTATCTCAGTAGGCTGGTTGGGTTAACCGACTCAAATCTACTGGGGAGATCCATCTGTTCCTCCCCAAATAACGCCAGTCTCAGCCTTATAAACTTGTCACATCTGCATATGATGTGAAAAGCTGTTTCATTCTCCTCCTGACAGAATCTGCATATCGGATTCGTCATTACTCGGAGATTGAACATATGATTATTTAACTTACAGTGACCTGTGTAGATCGCTGTGAGTTTTTTAAGAGCTGCTCTGTCCATGTTCAGTAGCTGTTCACTTCTTTTTTTACATGGGCCTTTAAGGAACAGCTTCGAGTGTCTCTGTTTCTTGTCGGTCCAGTAATTCCTAAATTTGTTCCCATAGATCTCCCTGATCCTGCCCTTGGCAGTACTAAGGCTGATTCCACAGACAGGCTCGGGAGTTATAGGAATAGTATCTGAGCCCAACCTGGCTTGCTCATCAGCCATTTCGTTGCCCGGTATGCCAGAATGGCCTGGCACCCACTCCACTGCAACTCTGTTGTGCTCAGTTAGCTCGTTAAGTGCTCTATTGCATTCCTTAACGACCTTTGAATAAGCATAATAATTGTCAAGAGCACCTATTGCTGCCTGACTGTCAGTAAAGATGGTGATCCTTTTCTCAGTCACATTGGTTTGCAGTAGGTTTTGTACACAATGGCAGATTGCCAGTATCTCGGATTGAAACACTGAAGCATACCTGCCAAGTGGTATAGAAATTTTTTCTTTTATATCTTTGCGATAGATGCCTGCTCCAGAGCCGAAGGCTGTTAGAGAGCCATCTGTGTAGCAATTTATTCCACTATTTGGTTTATGAATTCTGCTGCTATCTATCTCAACCTTATATTTCCGGTCCTGATGTTCTCGGATTAGAGTGTCAGAGTGCATAGCTAGCACTCTTTCACTTCCAATCCTGTTCAGCAGTGTTGTGTGTCCTCCCTGACAGGGGACTGTTGAGCAGTAAGTTGACTTGCTTATCCTGTACAGTGTAATTGTTGCCCGAGCCTCCACCTCCAGCTGCAGTGGGGGCATGCCAAGCATCACCTCCATAGCAGCCGTCGGTGTCGTGCTCATTGCGCCTGTTATCATTATACAAGCAAGCCTTTGGATCTTTCCTAATAAGGATACATTGGCTACAGTCTTTGCTTTGTGCCATAGCGTCTATATCTTTTTTCCTTAGCGCATCATTTATGATGTTATAGGGAGTTCTATCAAAGGCACCCTCGATATCAACGAAGACGCCTATCATGATTTCACTCTGTTCTAAGGATTTCTCAATTCTTGTTACCAAGTTGTGAAGCGCCACCTCACAGGATTTTCCTGGTTGGTAGGCATATTGCTTTGAATGTATTGGACTAGTAGCCAATATGTGTTCCCTAATATGTCTGTCCAGTATCTTTTCCAATGTCTTCATTAAGAAAGATGACAGACATATTGGCCTAAATGCCTTGGGGTCTTCATAAGATTCCTTTCCTGGTTTAGGAATGGATCGCACTTTGGATATCCTCCACTTACATGGTAGATATCCCAGTGCTAGGCTACCTCTTAGAAGTTCCAGAAGGTATG